TTTCCATCATCCCCCCCCACCCCGGTAAAACCCCCGCTCCCCGGACTATTTTCTCTGGGCGGCGGAGGGGGCGCGGGGCGGTGAGGGAGCCGGCGGAGGTGGCGGTGCGGGTCGGTCCCATGGTGTAATGGTTAGCACTCTGGACTCTGAATCCAGCGATCCGAGTTCAAATCTCGGTGGGACCTTTCTTTTGGTGTCACCTTCCCCCCAGGGCCACCAGGGACTGGGGGGGAGAGGGGAGAGGGGGGGTCCACATTCCTCGTCCCACCCCATTTGGGGACCACGAGGGACGCCCTTTTGGGATCTGCGTGCCCCGAGTGTGTCACCCCCCCCGGTGTGAGGAGGGATGGTCTGAGCACGACCCACCTGGGGGGGAACCACGGGTGACATCCCATCCCACGTGGGACACCCCATGGGGGACCACATATGATGTCCCATGTGTGACATTCCAAGTCTGACACCCCACGTGTGACACCCCCATCCCCCCAGGGACCACATGTGACGTCCCACACGTGATGGAGATGGCGTGTGACATCCCACATGTCTTGGGGACACCCCACGCCTCTTGGGGACCTCAAGTGTCACCTGGAAGGAGAGGTGGCCTCATGCCACCGTGTCCCCAAGGGGAACCAGAAAGCCACTCCAGTCCCTCCCAGTCCCTCCCAGTCCTGCTGCACCCACGGCAGGACCTGGCCTCTCCTGTCCTACATCCCCAGTGGTGGTGGCCCTCATCCTCAATGAGCAATGGGGACATGGACCCTAGGGGGTTGGTGGCCCTGGGCAGGGGGGGACAAGACCCCCCACCAGTCTGGTGGCACTGAGCAGGACACAGGGACACGAATATGGGGACAAGGACGGGGTGTGGGCCACCAGCCTGGGGTCATGGACCCATCTCCTCCCCTCCCTCCTCCAAATAATCTCCCCGGGGACACCCCACGGTGTGGGACGTGTCCTCCCTGGTACCTGCTCCTTCACCCCAGGCCAACGTCCCCGCGGTGGCACTTTGACACCGGTGACACCAACCCCCATAAAACCCCTAAAAATTGCAAAATCGTCAGGAGCAAAGGGCGACGCCCGATGGGTTTCAGCCCTTTTGGCTCCTCGTGATCGTTTTATAACCCGGGAACACCCGGGGGCTGCGAATCGCAGGCAAAAGGTGAGCGACGCCGTGGCGAGGCTCCTCGGGGTTTTGCCCTTTAATTGCCTTTTAATGAGCAGAATGATTAATTAGCCCATCAAAAAACAGCTTGCCAAGCGCTCACACCCAGCCCGGGCATTTCCACCGCAAACTTTGTGGTTCCTGTAGGCAACTCGGGGAAAAAAAAAAACAACCACCTACTTGTGTAAACATTTGCCCCAGAGACATGGGGTGGGGTGGGCAAGGGCAGCTGGAGATGTTTGGGGCCAGTTGGAGATGCTTGTGGTCATTTGGGGCCAGCTGGAGATGTTTGGGGCTGGTTGGAGATGTTGGAGGTGTTTGGGGCCAGCTGGAGATATTTGGGGTTGGTTGGAGATGTTTGGGGCCAGCTGGAGATATTTGGGGTTGGTTGGAGATGTTTGGGGCCAGCTGGAGATATTTAGGGTTGGTTGGAGATGTTTGGGGCCAGCTGGAGATGTTGGAGGTGTTTGGGGCCAGCTGGAGATGTTTGGGGTTGGTTGGAGATGTTTGGGGCCAGCTGGAGATATTTGGGGTTGGTTGGAGATGTTTGGGGTCAACTGGAGGTGTTGGAGATGTTTTGGGGTCAGATGGAGATGTTTTGGGGTCAGATGGAGATGGTGGAGGCTGGATGGAGACCTTGGGGTTGGATGGAGACACTGGGTTTGATGGAGATGGTGGATGGATGGAGATGTTGGGGTCGGATGGAGCCATTAAGGGTTGGATGGAGATGTTGGAGTTGGATGGAGACACGGTGGGGGTGTTGGGGGTGGCATAGGGACCCCACCCATCCCACAGGGACCCAGACGTGCCCATGTTCTCCATGCAGTGTGTGGAGCACCCGAACGGGCAGGGGCTGCTCATGGAGATGTCCCCATGTAACCCCAACCCATAACCCCCAAGCCAAGAGTGGTCAGATGGAGGGAGGGATGGAGGGAGGGATGGAGGGATGGATGGATGGACAGTTGGCTGGATAGAGGGATGGATGCATGGCTGGATGGACAGACCAGATGGAGGGGTGTCCCAAATGTTTAGATGGACGGATGGGTGAGTCACCAGGGTGGACAGATGAGGTGGAGATGCCAGGTGGGCAGATGGACGGTCGGACAGCAGACAGAGAGAGGTCAACTCCAGCCCCCATCTCCTGGGCAACCACCACCAGTGGAGGAACAGGTCCCGTGAGAGGAGCGGGTCCCATGAGAGGAGCGGGACCTATGAGAGGAAGGGGTCCCACCAGAGGAAGGGGTCCCACCAGAGGAGTGGGTCCCACCAGAGGAAGGGGTCCCACCAGAGGAGTGGGTCCCAGCAAACCCTGTTGGCTGGAGACCCTCCATCAGGATCCCCCCAGCCGCAGAGCAGATGGAGGGATGGCCGGGCGCCCGGAGGAGATGAGGAGATGACGGATTCCAACCATCCCCGTGGTGCCGCCCCACACCCCAGGGTTGGGCTCCTGCTGGCGGGGAGAGGAGAAGAAAAAAAAAAAAAAAAGAAAAAAAAATAAAGGAGGAAGGAAAAAAAACCCAACAGCCCAACCTTGGCAGGAGAAAGGAAAACAAACCACCCAAATCCCGGCAACGCCGCCGCAAATCCCTGCCGGGGCAAGGTGCGCGTCGGGGTGGACCTTGGCCACCAACGCCACCAGCGTGTGACCATGCCGGGGCTGGGGATCCTGACGGCGGCGGTGGTCGGACTGGTCTTACTGGTGGTGCTGGGCCGGCTGGCTCCTTTCTTCTGGGCCGATTTGGTGGCTTTCGGTGGTTTGGTGGGCTCTTCCATCCGTTGCCGGCGGCGCCTCAACCGCTCTCCCCCCGTCACCCTCCTCGATGTCTTCCAGGAGAACGTCCGGCGCCGGCCCCGGTGGCCCCTCATCCTCTTCCAAGATGAGGTCTACACCTACCGGGACGTGGACCTGAGGAGCAACCGAACCGCCCGGCTCCTCGCCCGTCGCCTGGGGGGGTTGGGCCCGGGCCGGACGGTGGCCGTGTTCCTCCCCAACCATCCCACCTACGTCTGGACCTGGTTGGCCTTGGCCAAGTTGGGTTGTCCCATGGCGTGTCTCAACTGCAACGTGCGGGGGAGGGCGCTCCAACACGCCTTGGCCGCCGCCGGGGCCACCGTCCTCCTGGCCAGCCCCGGTGAGTGACACCCCCAAATTCCACCCCCCCGCCCCGAGGGGGGAGATTTGG